CCTGAGAACACTCGGGGCCGAGAGGCCTCTCACAGATACACACGAAGGCCCCGGAGACATAAACATGTCGGTTCCGCTCCAGCTGGAGACCTCGGCTCAGCCACACGGACCCCCTTCTCCAGCTTCCGACATGGTTCCCGAAATACGAATGAACTCCCGTGTCTGGAGAAGCAGTGGGGTCTGATGGCTCCCTGGGGAGGTTCATGGTCAGCCGCTCACCTTCCCCAGGGAAAAGGCAATAGTCACAAAGTGTGGGCTCTTGTTTAGAAGGCAGACCCCTCGCCTTCATTCATTCACTCACTCAGTCATTCACTCGTTCGGTGGCTAATTATGGATCACCTCTCTGGGGCAAGGCTCGGTGCTAGGCTCAGGGGTCATGCGTGAGACGTGTCCCTGTCCCCCCAAGTTTATGCTCCACTTTGAAAGGAAAGTGGGTGGCATCCGTATCCAGTGGACCCCCGCTCTGTGCCTTGCACCACGCTAGCGGGTCTACACACCTTGTCCTGCGGACCCTCCAGATCCGGGAAGGAAAAGGAATAGCAACACCATGCAGACGCACAGAGAGATGCAGAAAGCTTTGCAAGATCACACATCTTCCAAATGTCTCAAACCCCCCTCTTGTTCCAGACTCCAATGCGCATGTCCTGTTCCTGTGGGGCAGGGGAAACTCCCAGGGGTGCTCTGAGGGGGGAGCAACTCCCTTTGGCTGGGGATTTCTGGGAGGACAGGGGGACAAGGTGAACTCTAGGTGGGCACTTCACCAGCAGGGGCTGGGCAGGGGTGAGGTAAACGGTGCAGAGGTGGGGAGGCTGTCTACGTGCAGGGGGTCACGGACGTCCCTTGGTGAGCGGGGCTGGAGGCCTTGAGCGGGGACGTCGTCACAGGAGGAGGGTGAGAGCAAATGGTGATGAGCATCGAATGCCAGGAAAGGGAGGGAGCGGGTTCTGTGGGGAACAGGAGTCCGTGGCAGGTGCTGGAGGAGGATGGCCACGGGACTTGAGCCGGGGAACCGGGGCTGGAATGGGGTGAGGGAAGCCGTGGGGAGGCCTCCTCGCAGGTCCGCCTAATCATGATGGTAAGCTCACCTCCGGAGGTTCCTGGGCTAGCCCTGGGGGTGTCACTCATCAGCTGGGTGACCTAGAGCAAGCGGTTCCACCCTGGGAGCCGGGGTCTCTTCCGGTGAAGTCCAGACACACAGAGTAACTGGGGAGAATCCGTGGGGACCATAGGCAGCAGCCAAGCATCTTTCCCGGCTCCCCGAATACTAGTTCCCCTTCCTCTTTTCCTCCTCCTTGGGTACCCCAAGCATCTCCGGCCCTGAACCTCTGCACTTGGCATTCGCTTTACCTGGTCCTTCTTCCTCTTGGTTTGCTCACTGGTGTCACGTGGGTGCCTTACAAAGCTCTCTTCCCAGGTGAGGCCCTCCTGTCCCCACTCTCGCGCTGCCTCTGCACCCGTACATGCTTGTGTCTCTAACTCGGCACCTGGAGCCGTGCCTCGCACACAGCAGGCGCTCCACGGGTTCCGTGGGATAAACAGTGAGTGAATGAATGAGTCAGTGCGTGTTCAGCCGGGGAAGGGACACACCCTAGGCTCTTGGGGAACTTGTAGGCTGCACGGGATCTCGAAGGTCCCATGGGCTGAGCCCTCTCTGGATTCAAGAATGCCATCAGTGGATTATGGCCCGAGGGTGACGCCTGGCACGTCAGCCGCGCTCACTGCACCTCCCACTCGCTTCTCTCTGCGGAGAGGACTTCACTCGTCCCCGAGGCTGCCTTTCCAGCGTCTAGCCGTCCCCACAATTACACTGAAAGCAAGACAGGTACCTTAGGCAGAAGTGGGCATCTGCGAGTACTGGACCCAGCTGGAAACTGTGGGGCTTACACACGGCACCCCGGCCACGTGACGCCGAGTCCCCTTACCTCCTGGACCCTGGACCCTGGACCCTGAGCCCCTGGGACCTGAGAAACAGGCTCCCTCTGTGTGGGTTAGGAGACCTGCCCAAGCCCCCGCTGCGGGTGTAACATCGGCTCCCGACCACGTAAGTGTGCAAACTTAGTTGTCTACGTGGGGAATATTGCATTTCAGTAAAGCCCAGACTTCACTGATCAATCTTGACCCCTTCGGGTGTCCTGCTGATCTGCCCGTGGCCATTAGCCCCGGCCCTCCTAGGTAATGAGCTGACACCCCCCCCCCCCCAACACACCCCACGTCCTGGAAATCCGGTGCTTTCTGCACCCACGGACCTGCGAGTCCCCATGAGTCTGAGCGCAGCCTCCTGACTGGTCGCCAGGCCAGGGCTGACCCCATCCTGACCCTTGAGGGCCTTGCTGGAGGCATCTCTGGCCAAGTTTGGCTCCAACCTCCACACCAGCCCCCTCCCTGGGCCCCAGCGCAGGGACATTTTTAGGGGCATTTTCTCGAACTCCCTGGTTCCTGTCAGTTCCCCAGGGCTGAGGGGACACGCTGAAACCCCCAGGCCAGGGCACATGGGCAGCAGCACCCCAGGTCACCCCGTTACCCAACACCGACGGGCAGAGCGGATATTGCAGCTCTGGCCCCCGGGCTCCAAATTCAGAGCTTCTCCCTCTGCAGCTCCGCCTGTCGAACCCCGTCCTTCACTGCACGTCCCTCTGTGGCCCCTGCCCACCTGCCGTCGCCTCTGCCATCGGACTCAGGCTTCCTTAGGGCCCACGTGTCTGCCCCCCAGGCCCCCGAAGCCGGCAGTTCTTCCTGCAGGAACCTCTCAGGCGCAGGCTTGTCCTGAGGCAGCTCCGCTTCCTCCCGCAGGGCTCAGCGAGGGCCTCTCCATAGACAGCCCGTCCCCGGCCACGGACCGCTGTGGGAAGGAGCGCCTGTGAGCCCGCTGTCTTTTCTTAAATACGTCTACGTTTATTGATGTCAGAGAGGAAGGAGAGGGAGAGAGAGAAACATCCATGATGAGAGAGAACCATGGACCGGCTGCCTCCTGCACGCCCCACACTGGGGATCGAGCCCACAACCTGGGCATGTGCCCTGACCAGGAATCCAACCGTGACCTCCTGGTTCATAGGTCAACGCTCAAGCGCTGAGCCACCCCTGCAGGAGGGCCCCTCTGTCTTATTAACCATTTCCTGTCCTTCCCACTGTCACCATCGCCGATAGCTGCCGCATTCCCATCTTTATCCCACGGCTCCCCCCAAAAAAGTAAGCTCCATCCAAGAGAGGCTCTTGCTGTGCACAGCTGGATTCATTGATCAAATGAAGTTTCACTGAACGAATGTTAAATAAGGGAATAGATTTAGTCTAACTCATAGCAGATTCTGGGCAAATGTTTTTGTGTTTTGTTTGGTTTTTTTAAGTTGTCACAAAGCTCATGCTTTCTGACTATCAGCTCACACCTCCTTTCTGCCTCTGTGTGAATTCTGGGGGGAAACTCCACTTACGCATCTCTCTGCCAGTCCGCTTCCCCTTCTAGGCGAGTGGCCCGCTCCGTCCGTCTTTTGCAACGTTGCCTCTGCACCTTCCCAGGGCCGCCCTGCGCCTGTTTCTCAAGTTGTCTGAGGAAGCATCTCTCTAGTACCGAGTGCCTTCTAAATTTAGAAGCGGCCCGCTGTTTTCGATTCACCGTCGACAGCTACACCGAGTGAGGTTTCTAAATGACTCTCCCTGGGCGGCGAGGCGGCCCTGTGGGGCTGGGGCTGCGTGTCACCCGCCAGAGACACCGGCCGGGTTCCGTGCCAGGCCCAGCTGTGTGACTCTGGGCAAGTCACTCTGCTGTCACCTCTGTGAAGCAGCCCCCACACGGTCCCCCGGCGTTCTAGCCCAGGCAGACATTCCCAGGCGGTCCTGCCGGGAGTCAACATTCCGGCAGCTTCCACCTCTGCCACCCACAATCCCTGAGGCCCCAGGTGCCTGGGGTCTCCTGCTTGAGACTCGCCTGTGATGAGTGGGGAGCTACACATTGTTCCTTTTAGAATATGTTCTTATTGATTTTAGAGAGAAAGGCAGGGAAAGGGAGGGAGAAATGTCGATGTGAGAGAGAAACATCAGTCGGTTGCCTGCTGCACGCCCCCGACTGGGGATCCAGCCTGCAACCCAGGCCTGTGTCCCGACCGACCGGGAAGCCAACCGGCGGCCTTTCGGGGCGGTGCAGGGGACGATGCTCGACCAGCTGAGCCGCGCTGCCCAGGGCTATCTATTATCACTTTTTAAAAAATTTAAACCCATGGAAACGGTGAAATGGTACAATGCACACATGCTCTTCACCGAGATCCCTCCAACAGTAACATTTTGCCGCATTTACTGTCTTGCTCTCTTTCTCTTTATTTGTGTTTTCTCTTTCTTCCTGGACTATTGAAAATTATAGACACCGGCCACCTGGCCTCCTGACACCTCAGCAGGTGTCTGCTAAGAGCCAACACACTCACCCACATCCCCACGGCGGCACTTCACCCCACGAGAAGCAGCGTTGACACGGCATCATCGGACCTGTGGTTTCTATATTTGAGTGCCACCCACCGACCCATCACAGTCTTTCTGTCTTTCTAGTCCTCTTCCCTTGACCCAGGATCTAGGCAAGCATCACACAGGCAACATGACCTTGTAGGTGTTTGTGGTCAATGTTCACCGACACCCCGTGTTTCCTGACCTTCCCGGTCTCTCGGGGGCAGCACGCTAGGGGGGCTGCCGGCAGCAGCTCTCGGCAGAGGGCCTTCGATGCCTCTATTTTAAGCCTCTGCCCATGAGGACCTGCCCTCCACAGGCTCTGCGCTGGGGCTGGCTTGGCAGCGGCATGAGGAAGCCGCGATAATTGGGAAACTCAGAAAAGAGAAGCTGCTGCCGCGTGGACCCAGCCAGCTTCAGGGGCCGTGAGCGCAGCCCCGGAGCCTCCCCCGCCTTTTAATTAGAGACAAAATGCGTCTGTGAGCCTGAGCGAGGCCTGGCTACGCGGAGCTGAGCTGCCCATGCTCCCCAGTGCTTTGCACCCGCGTGCAGCAGGCCGCCCGCCTCGCGTCCTCAGAGAGGAGCCTGCTCAGCACTCGCTGAAAACAGGAACCTGCCCCTCCGCGGGGCCCGCGCCTCCTCGTTCTCGCAGAGGAAGTGTGTGGCATGTTTAGCAACTGCTGCTCTTCTCGATAGCATGGGCTTGTCTACACCCCGCGGAGGCCCGGCCGCCCGCTCACTCCGCGGGAGCAGCAGCGGCTGACGGAGAGGCCGTGACGGGGACCCTCGCCCGCTACTCCCCGGGGCCACCATGTCCAGCCTTTGAAGGTATCTTGGGGGACGTGGTGGGGGCTGGGTGGGGGGAGGCATCAGGACCCCTTAGGCGTGCAGCTGGCAGGGGGGTGAGATCTTGGAGACGGAGAGTCGCTCTGTGGGAACAGGCAGGGCAGTGTCTCCAGTGAGGCCCACCGTCCAGCACGGCGCCCGGAACATCGAGGCTCTGGGGGAGGGTCTGGTGCATAGTTACAGGTGAGAAGGGCCGAGGGCGTGGGCCGGGCACCGTCCTCCAGAGGAGAGAGTGCCGCCCCAGAACCGCCTGGCACGGGCAGGCCTCCTCCCGCGGGCCGCCGGGCTTGCTCCCGGCCTCCCAGCAGCGTGACCCCGGGCGAGTCACTGCAACCGCGCCAGGCCTTTATTTTCCCCTCCTTAAAGTGAACACCCCGGGGCCAGGTCCCCCGGGCGCTGGGAAGGTGGCATGAGCCGGCATATGCAAAGCACCCGGCCAGTGTAGACACAGAGTAGGGGCTCGGTAAACGCGGCCAGGGAAGAGCAGTGACGTCTGGGGGTGCACGGAGCCCCGAGAGGCTGAGCGATCCCTCCACTGCTTCGGGGAGCCTGGCTGTGAGGATCGTCTTTGGGAAAATGCCAGCAAGGCTTGATGGTAACAAGCAATGGCAATCAAAGGAGGTGGTGAGTGTGTGGGGCGGGGTGTGGTGAGAAGAGGCTCGGGAGAGCGAGAGTTCTTGAAGGGATGTGGCACGCTCCACATTCTTTGAGGTTCCTAGGTGTCCAGAAATCCTGGTTGTCAGGGAAACGACCATGGCGTTGGGCTCGAATGCCCTGAATTGGGGTCATGCATGGGAGTGGGAAGGGGTGGTGTCCGCCATGCTGAGTGGTGGGGAAGATGTGTTGCATGAAAGGCTATTTTCCTGCAATCCCCAGAGTAGATTACAATTATTATTTGCTTTTGACAAATAAGGAAACGAGACCCAGAGAGGTTAAGTGATTCGTCCAAGTCACACAGCAGAGAGGATTACGCTCTCGGGACAGAGGGGTGGGGTGGGCAGAGCCCCGGGGAGAGCGAGAGTGTGAAGGGGAAAGTGTGTCTTTGGAGCAGTGCGCTCCATCTCAGGAGAAACACACCCCACGTTCTGCAAAAAAAAGTATCCTTCTATGGTTCGCTGTGCGATGCTGAGCTGCAGCCTCTCACCTGGGCTGTGGTCCTTTTCAGTTTGGAAAGATGAGCCCAAATAAGTTCTGGCAAAATCTCTTGTAACTGGTCTTCTCCAGCTAGGAGGATGCTATTCAGGAACGCACAATGTGTTCTGAAAAGCAGGCTACTGATAGCCCTAAATCCCGTGAAACGGACAGACTGGCGTCTGTGTAGGCTCCTGCGTCTTAAACAGATCCAGCACCAGGGCAGGGAGACCGCTTCCTGGAAAGCCTCTAAGTCAGCGACCATCCCACCTACTCCCCCCTCCCCCCAGCCAACATTCTGGCTCAGCCGCCAGTGAGCTGTGTGACTCTGGGCAGGTCACTTTGCCTCTCTGAGCGTCAGTTTCCTTTTCTTAAAAAGACCAGCCTCCTCGTGCGTCTGTAACAAGGTTAAGTCATAGGCAGTATGCAGGAGGCGCTAAATGCTAGAGTGGCGGAGTGGCTACTAATAGCATTCTTCACCCTGGCCTTCGAAGGACACCCAGGTACGCGGGTGGTTCTGGGCAGTCGAGGGAAACAGCTGTGTTCACTGCATTGGGCCCAACTGCATAACTACACGCCTTCTCCGTGTCTCTAAGTGCTCGTGTCTACGTGTTTGTCCACCTGACACGGGCAACCAGGCAGACGTGGGTAGGTTTGCACGGCAGCAAGCACATCGGTTTCCTAACACAGACAACATCTCCCCCTCTGCGTGTGGAGAGCCGGCAACATTATTTCCAGGGGGAGTGCGCTGCTTAGAGACTTAGAAATTATTCATTCCAGGAAACCCCAGCCAGCTTCCTGCGTTCATAAATGCTGCTGGGTTTTAATCTTTCACTTGACACGCAGCAAGCATTTGCGTCCGCCAGAGAAGCCGGGGCTGAACATGCTTAGGAATTTCCATTGCGTCAGGCCAGACCATTTGGTTCTTGTCAGCAACCTGAGGGCCCTGTTAGTACTTTTATCCATCCATCATCCATCCCTCCACTCATGCATCCATCCCTTCTACTAAGAAATATGCACTGAGGCTATACCATGTGACTGTCTTCCTCCCTCTCTCTCCTCCCCAAGGCAGTAAGTACACTGAGTCCAAACCACTTCCTCTCAGCTGGGAACCAGCAGGGGTGGGGGGCGGGGCAGAGGCGGGGGGGGGGGGGCTGATTTCATGATGGTAACTGGAGCCACAGACAGAAACTGAGGCCTCAGAGGCTCAGCGGCTCATTTCTGTCGTCAAGCAGCTTTGCAAAGTCACAGTTCCCTCCCTGGCACCTTCCAGGCGGCTGAGGCCGTGGCCAGAGGAGGACTCAGGGGTGTTGGGGGCACCAGCTCTCTGTGGTGGGCACACTGACAGGGTGTGTGCAGGCTGCGTGCCCTTGGCAGGTTGCTCGCCCTCTCTGAGCCTTTTCTTGGTAACATGAGGGCATCCAATTGCTATTTTTCAGTCGGTGCTTTCTGACCTCCCAGGATTGGGCTGACATATCAAGAGGCAGGAGTGCTGGCTCAGCCCCAACCAGCAGTTGCTTTTCTCTATTTTATGTTTGGAGTTTCGGGGGACCTTTCTTAAGGTTTCCAACCAGCAGGTGTGAAATGGCCCGGATGAGCGAATCCCAAGGCCTCCTCCTCCCAAGGCCTGCTGGGCTCTGAGTCGGGCAGGAGGCAGCGGCGGGGGGTGGGTCCCTGAGCTGGCTGCCTGCTCTCCATCGTCCTGCGCTGATGGGTCCTGTGCTGCCCGGCAGCCTCCCTGGCAGGACGGGGAAAGGAGAAGAGGGCGGGGCGGCGGCAGGCCTGTGGCTGCACCTGCCCAGAGCAAGCGGGGAGCAATGTGGGTCACGGGGCAGGCGCACCTGCCGAGCGAGGTCAGGATGTGGCGGGGTGCCCCCGGAAATCCTGTAAGATCCCTGGCAGGGGAACTGACAGATGTGGAGCCCCCATCCCAGCGCCTCCTGTGCCTGGTGCAGAGCCTGACGACAGGCAGCACCGGGCGCGTCGGGGCCACAGGGCGGGTACTGGGTACCATCACGGAGGAGCAGGGAGAGCAGAAGCAACACGTTCGCAGCCCAACTCTCCCCCGTCACAGTGGAGGACCCTGCGGCCCGAGGAGGGGACGGGGTTTGCTCAACTTGCACAGTGAGGCAGCAGACCACCCCGTCTCCCGAGGACTCGGGCTTTGGTGACATTTCAGCTCTCCTAGCTCACCAAACTCACCTCCGCTCTGGATGTACTCTGTCATTGAAGACCCTGAGCAATCCCGCGGGGCATGTGTTCACGCCTCACGTTTATGGGTTTGGAAAACAGAGGCTCAGGGAAGGGCAGTCACTGGCCACAGGACACACAGCCAGGGGGGCCGGGCTGGAATCTGAACTCAGCCTGGCCCTCTCTCCCCACTTTCGAGGCTCCCTTATTCTTGCTACGTCCTGCTCATGATCGTCAGAGCAATTCATACACACGGGAGAGAATCTGGAGATCCCGGAAAGATGTGAAGAATAAACCAATAAATCCTCTATAAAATCACTACCCAGAGAAGCCTTGGCGGCATCTTGGAAAGAGCTTCCTTGAGTATTTCCTACATCGATGCACGGAAGCTTTATGGAACTGGGACGGTAGAAGCACAGCTAGTTTCTCTTCCACCCCACCCCACCCCCATAGTATTAAGCGTTCTTTAAAATGATGCTATGGCACAGTCCCCATTATCCCCTGCTGCCTTTTATATATATATATATATATATATTGATTGATTTCAGAGAGGAAGGGAGAGGGAGAGAGAGATAGAAACATCAATGATGAGAGAGAATCATGGATCGGCTGCCTCCTGCACTCCCCACACCAGGGATGGAGCCCGCAATCCAGGCATGTGCCCTGACCAGGAATCAAACCGTGACCTCCTGGTTCATAGGTCGACGCTCAGCGACTGAGCCACGCTGGCCGGCCGGGCTCCCTGCTGCCCTGTGAGGACACAGGCCACCTAAGACCGGCCACGGCGGCTGAGGTCTGAGCGGCCGTCACTGGCCTCTCTGGGCCCTGCTGCTCCCATGGCCCGATCCCAGCCCCCAGCGTCCAACAGGCCCCTGACCGCCAGCAGGCCCCTGGGGACCTCCATGCCCTCGTCGCAGTTTTACCCAGAAGTTCACAGTCCCCCGAGTCTGCTCTGAGGACCTTTAGAGACCGCTTCTGCTGCCTCCTTAGACTAGGCCCTGGGGCAGGAAGGCAGAGCGGACAGAGTCTCAGGGGGGCTGAGGGCACAGGCAGGCCAGGCAGACCTGGCCGGGACCTAGCCTCCCCTCCCCTTGATCCCACCACCTGGGACCAGGCACTCCATCATCTCACCTGTGACGTGGAGCTGTGGGCGACCCAGTCTGGCAGCGATAGCGTGCTGAGGCCGGAGCCCTGCCGGGAGGAAGGGCCCATCGCCAGACGGCGTGGCTCTGGCTGCCTGGGGGCTGCCGGTCGGTGATGGTGATGGTGAATGGGGAGCGGGTTTTCCCACTCATGGCATAGCTCCCACCTTAGAAGCGGGTCCTGGGAATGGGCTCGGAGCTCTCACGCTTCATGGAAGAAATTCTAAGGCTGACAGGAGGACTGAATCCCTGAGCAGATCTCCTTATTCCAGCCGTCACAAGGTTTCCCACGGTGCCTGGTTCTACTAGAGTCCAGGCCTGCCTCCCCTGGGCTGGGCTCCTCTGCCCCCCACCCCCTTTACACACACGAAGGGGTTCAGACGCCCTTCCATTCCGACAGCGAGACCTGGCTCTTAGGAGCACAGAGCGGACGTGGCCCGGGAACGAAGGTCCCGAGAAGCCTGACCCATGTTTACAAGATAACACCGAGCACAGGATGAAAGGCTCCCCAGCGGCTCCCACAGAAACCCAGCGGGGCAGGCGCGTCCCACATTCCTGCCGGCAACTCCCTGCCACAGTGACCTCTCCCTGCCAGCAGTCCCCGCCAGTGGCGGCGGCCACTCCCGGGCCAGAGCTCCCCGTGAGCGTGAGCGTTCTTCCTCCCTGAGGGGACAGCGCACGCACAGCTGGGGAAAGGGCGGCGTGGGTCCTGAAGTCAGAGAGGTAGGTGTGCCCCCCGCACCCCTGCTCCTCGGGGTCCCAGCTCTGGGAGTGTGGGCTGAGATGACCTCCTGACCTCCGCCCGGGAAGGGAAGGTCACGGAGGAACCTCGGCCTCCCGGATGCTGGGAGGTTAAATGCAATGGCATCTGCTGATTGCCCCCCACCCCCCGAAGGCGGGCGCAGAACAGCACGCACCGCTCTCCCTCCATCTGGTGGAATAGAAGGACGAGGCTAGTGTTCTGTCTAGTGGGATGGCCTAGAGAGCGAGGGGGGTCTTTCCTCTTATTCATGATTTTCAAAAAGCCACCGAGTCTTGATTGCTGGTTGAATGGAGGGGCTCTCTCTTTGGAGAGCATCTCCCCCCCCCCGCCCCCCCCGCCCCACGCATTGTGTAGAGGAGTAAATGGAGGCCCAAGATCACACGCAGAAGAGAGCAGAGCGTGGTCCAAAGACTAGGGAGCCAAGTCAGAGGCAAGTCCCGGTTCTGGTTCTGGCCCTTGGATGGCACCAAGAGGAGGGAGAGAGAATCAGGAACGGCTGGCGCCAATGCTGATGAACTCATTTCTCTCGTGCCCTCTCCTCGCTGTTCCTAGAAGCAATTACGGCTCACACCCTCTCCCACCTCCAGCTCCTGCGTAAAACTGCCTGCCACCGATTAAATCAGATGGTGCAGCCATTTCATTAGGGAGACCCGGAGCTCCCTCTCGGGGCACTTCTCACTCTCCTACAATAAATGCCTCTTTTGGCTGCCTTAACTCCTTCCTGGATGATGGGAAGCTGGTGAGCAGACCGAGACTGGGCTGGGGAAGCCCACGGGTGGGTTTTCTGGACCCGTGTGCGCTGCGGTGGGCATGGAGCCCAGCCCGCCTGGCCTGCACGCCCGCCGGCCCGCAGAGGCAGGGAGAGGGCGAGAGTCACAGTAGAAGAACCCGGGCGCCGGGGACCCGCGGCACCCTTCTCACCGCGAGACGCTGGGTATGTTTCTTTGCTTGGAGGGTGCCCAGTTTTCCCATCTGAAAAATGTGAGTTTCAAATCTTTTTAAAAATTTCCTGTACTGGATTCCATGAATCCCCTCCCCACCCCCACCGCCCCCCCCCAAAAAAAACAGCCCAGGAATGTTTGAGAATGAACGAGCTTATGGGGGGTGGGGGTGCAGTTAGAATTCAGTGACGCAGGTGACCAAGACTTTTCCTGAGCCGTTTGCCGGAGGCGGGATGTGAAGGGAGGGATGGGCTGGATGTGACTCGGAGGAGGACATGGAGCGGGAGGGAAGGGGAGACAGGTGAGGGACGGGCCCTGGGAAGCCTGGGGTGATGGGCACTGGGAGAGGGTTAAAGGCACAATCCCTGGCTCAGCTGGTCCTGGACCCCGTGTTCGACTGCAGGGCACAGCGGGACATTGTCAGGAGAGTGGGTGACAGTGCCGTGCTCTGCGAGGTGGGGACATGAGAGAGTGAAGGGGAGGCCCACACAGGGTTCAGGGTCATCTCTGCATGACTGCCCTGAAGGCACCTCCCCCCCCCTCCCCCAGCTGGTCCTGGGAGCTCCCCCCCTCCTCCCCCAGCTGGTCCTGGGAGCTCCCCCTATCCCCCCCTCCCCCAAGCCGGTCCTGGGAGCTCCCTCCAGCAGCCCAATGGCCTTGGCAATGACAGGTGGGAGGCTGGGGGCCTGGGCTGACTGCTCGGCTCCGGGAAGGCACGGGGAACATACAAGGGATCCCGCCTCTCCTTCCTCCCCACACAATGAGGAAGTGGTGCAGGCCTCCCTGGCCCTCTGAAGGCCTTGCTCTGAGCACAGAGAGTGTTCTAGAACCTGCAGGTGTCGTGTGCAGAGGAGGGATTTAAGGCCGGGTGGGGCTGAGTTGGCTGACTTGTGGGCCCTTTCGGACTCCTGAGGCCTTGATCCTGAACTGCGGACCAGGAACAGGACGCAGCACAGGTCGTGGCTGGGCTGCACCGGCGGGGACCTGCCCCAGCGATTCTCCGCTTTGTCCCCAGGAGACAGGCGAGCTCCGGGGAGGGGTCTCTGCGCTTCGGGCAGCAGGAGGCCAGTGTTACTCCGCAGTCATCTCAGTCCCTTCCTAACGCCCCGCGGAGGAGGGCCCACAGTGTGAACCTCCTACACCATTAGGACAATCGGGAAAGGCACTTGAAATGGCGGTAACTGGCCTGCATTTCCTGCCGGGCCACGTTCTCCAGTGTTTCACCTGATTCATCTGCTCATTTTGCAGCCACCACCCAAGGTCATTTTACTATTATTCCCCCATCAGGCAGGAAGAGGCCATCAACATGCCCAAGGTCGCCTAGCTTACATGTTCTGAGCCAGAACCTGAACCGTACGGAACAAACCGGAGACTTAGCACGTGGGGTCTAAACCCCAGCCCCATGGTTCCATGCTGTGTGATCTTAGACAAGTCCTTTACCCTCTCTGAGATTCAGCTTCCTTCACTGAACAATGGGGTTAGGGTGCAGGGACTTTACAATAATAATAATAATAATAATAAGAAGAAGAAGAAGAAGAAGAAGAAGAAATGAGATATTTACCATGAAATCTATGCAATGGAATATTACTCAACCATAAAAAAGAATGAAATATTGCCTTTGCTACAATATGGATGGACCTAGAGGGTATTATGCTAAGTGAGATAAGTCAGACAGAGAAAGGCAAATAGTGGATGATTTCCCTGGTAGGCGGGATCTAAAGAACAAAATGAACAAACAAAACTAAAATGAACTCTGACACACAGAGAACAAACTGATGGTCACCAGATGAGCGGGGGCGGGGGGGGGGCCGGGGGACCGGTGCTGGTGGGTGTGGGGTGAAAGGGGGGAGGGATTAACAAATCGCCAGGTATGAAAACATTCTCCGGGAGGGGGGGAAAGTACCGCGTGGGGAACAGAGTCCATCGTAGCGCAACGACTGTATATGTTACCAGGGCGATCCCTGCTTAAGTGTTATACATGTGTAACCGCTATGCTGTGCCCCCTGAAACTGACATAACAGTGTATGTCAACTGTAACTGAAAAGTAATTTTTTCAAGAGTCCACGTGTGAAGTTTGCCCTGTTTTCCGTTTGCTGGAGCACGAGAGCACGCGGAGAAACGTGCACAGAGGCGGGGGCTGCAGCAGAGGTGCCCTCCCCGGGGCCTTTGGGGGTTCGGCAGCCCCTGTGTGTGCAGCTCTGCCCCGGTGCCCGGGACCCAGGACCAGGGCTCAGGAGAGGAGAGGCCCTGAGGCCACGTGACACCCTCTGCCTCTCACACAAACACGCTGCTGCCACCCGGGGTGCCGGGGAATGGAAACTTTCGCCACCAACAGCATTTGTAGCAACTTCCCTCTCTGTGGTTTTTCTCTGTCATTCCCTTGATAAAAGAACTCGCGCTGCGTACGCGTAACCAACATTCACGGATCTCGTCGCCACGTAAAAACAGCCACCTTTCAAGAAGCGAGCTGCCTGGCGCGGGAGGCGCGATGTACCCTAAACTGGGTCACTCTCCCCCCGGCGGGCTGGGCGCGTGGCTGACGCTCCGTGTGTCTCCCCTGTGCCGCAGGCTCCGCGCGTCCTCCGCAGCCCGGGCAGCGAGGGAGATGGGGAACAGCATGCGATCCGCCCCGGCACCACCCGAGCCCGAGAGGCCTCTGCCCTGCTCAGACGGTAAGTCCGGCTTCCTGGGTGCGATGCTGAACTCTCTCCCGGGGATGCCTGGGGCGAGGACGGGGTGATGGGAGGGTGCGGGTCGTGGTCGAAACAGGGCACTGGGTCCCTCGGAGTCCCTCACCCTGTCTCTCTCGCTTTGCTTGTCGTTAACGTTAAATGCCAAAGAGTTGGGGGGGGGGCACCCCGAAGGGGCCGATTTGCTGGCATCTTCGAGAAGGGCCGGTTCCCTCCCTTGACTCTGCGGGTGGAGAACATGGAGGCCCACAGAGGGGGTAAGAGATGTCTGTGGGTTCAGACGTCCCACCTGGGCTGGTCTGATTCTGCCCGAGGCCCTTGCTCACCACACACCCTGCCGGCCGCGCTGTGCTTGGTGGGCATCATATTATCATGGGCACGTGTGTGATCCGGAGTATCGGGCTCTGCCAGGGCTTTCTGGAGTGTGACTTTATGGAGTCAGTGCTGGCCCTGGGGGTCTTCCTGAGAGTAAAGGGGTTCCCCTGTCCCGTCGGTAGGATCGCCGGGGTCAGGCGCTCTCGGGGGAGGGCACCGTGTCACAGGCGAACCGGGGATGACAGAAGCCAGCTTTTCTCAGCGCTGCCTGGTGGGGCTGGGCTCCGAGCGCCACGGCTGAGACTAAGGCCAGCGCCCCTGGGCTCAGGTACCGGAGCGGCTGCCTGGCTTTGTTCCCGGGGCAGGGCCTGCGGGCACACTGTGTGCGTCCTCTGTAGTTGGGGAGGGGATGGTCAGGAGGCCAGGCGACCCATCAGCGACCCCAGGGTCGGTCACTGGAGACTCGGGACACTTCCACCTCCCATTTTCCATCTCAGCACTCAGACCTGGCCTCCCTCTGCCCACGGGGCGGCCACACCTGGCTCCCCGTGCCCCCCTGCATCACGGCGCTGGGCAAAGGCCACAGGCGCAGGTGCCCACTGGAGTGTCTGCCAAGCCGAAGCCCAACGTGAGCGTGGACAGAGCCAGGTCCCTGCCCTGCCTCGGCCTCCTGCTCATCCCATGACTTCCGTGGCCCCTTCAAAAGGCAGCCTTCTCGCTTCTCCCACGTTCTACACGGCTCCCTGGCTCCCCAGGCATCCCTGCCCATGGAGACCCTGCTCCCCACTCAGTCAGATGCAGGCCGTTCTGGGGGCCCTCCTTTCTAGCCAGGTGATTGTCCTCCCCAACCTAACAGGGGAAATGCAACGTCCCTGGGACAAAGCTGGGACCACGTGACAGGGCGGAGCAGAGTGTGTGCACCACCCCGAGCGGCGGGCCTCCCTCCCATGCGGAGCTCAGGGCCGGGCAGGCTGCGGCGTCCACTGCTGCTGGGAAAGCCAGGTTCCTCCTCCTGACTTCTCCAAACAGCGCCGGTCGCGCTTCCTCCCAGGTCACGGCCACTTCCAGAGAACAGCCACTGTCATGCAGGGGCCCCGGCCAGCCCAGGAGGCACCCCCGCCCCATCCATCTGTGGTGTCGCCTCGCACCCTGGGCCAAGGGGCCGCACGCTTGAGCAAACCCCATGAAAACAGGGGCCTCCCAAGACCGGCTCATTTGCCTTCATTTCTGAAATGCAAATCGCCATGAAATCAGTTTCTCTTTTTCCACCGTGTGGGTGGGTGGTCTCCTCCAGAAAGGAGGCGCAGGGGTCTCCCCAGCCCTCCACCCCTGGGTAGAGAATTCCCCAGGTCTTGCCCAGTTTGTAACCCAGGCAACCACATCAAGAGCTGGCGGGTGGCTTTTCCACCCCCCACCCCTGAAAAGTCCCCCTGAGAGCGCCCCGGCTTGATTTCCTCTTTTCTCTGACACCTCCGAGGACGAGGGAGAGGAAGGGGTGCGTGAGGCTGCATTCATTAGTGTTCACCCAGATGAAGCCAAGGGCGCGGGCTTTCATGGAACACGCACCTACTCACACTCAGGCTGACTCATTCGGGGAGTCTCGGAGGCCGGAGGGGGCTCGGGGGGCTGCTTCAGCGCCCACACGTCGGGGCTGCCCTGCTGTGAGCCCAAGGGGTGGAGAGTTAAGCACCGAAGACCCCACAGGAGGCCGACCCGTGGACTTGCAGACAAAGGCGTTTGCTGAGCTTTCAGGCGCTCATGCTCCCCACAAGCCAGGCTGGCTGTGCCCCTCTGCTTTCTCCTGCCCGAAGCTTCACGCCATTCCCGATTCCCCTTCCCAGAGAGAAAGCCACAGGGTCACAGAGGCAGCAGAACTGATGGAAGTCAGGCCGGTCTCGGAGGCTGATGACCTCGCTGAGCTTCTGACATTGTCTCCCCCACCCCCGACCCCCCACCCCAGGAGCAGCGTGACCTGAGGGGTCCCTCTGCCTCCCACAGGCGGGATCAGCTCTCAGAGATCAGAACCCTCCCCCCAGCACGGTGCCCAGAGCCTCCTGATGCGTGTGTGTGTGTGTGTGTGGGGGGGTCGCTGCTTATAAACTCTGCTTGGGGTTACTGGTTGCACGAGGCTGTGTGGAATGGCCATCCCCCCAAAAGTTTTCAAGTGGTAGAACCGGGGAGTCGACGACTTGTTTTCAAATCATGCCACATAGCTCCTCTTCTCCACGACGGTGCACCTGTTTCCGACCCGGCTCTGGGTCCCGCACAGGCGGTGCAGACTTGACCAAGGCCCAGGGCACGCGGTGCCGAGGGGATAGTGCACGTTGGCACCTTAAGGGAGGACTCAGTCAGGTCTCGGAGGTCTTCCCCCTGTTCACTGCCCACCTCATTGCCCTGACCTGAAGGGAGCTCTCACAGACCCCTTCGTGCGAGCGAGGTGGAAACAATGCTAAGCAGCGCATTTACATAGCACCCAGGCCCTGCCCTGGTGGAAAAAGGGGTGGGTGGGGCTCTGGGGGGAAGAGGGGGCAGGAAGTCTCAGGCCCAGCCTGGCACCTCTCAGCGAGGGTCTCCCGCCCACCTGCCGCCCGTCCCTAGGAAGCCCGTCCCTGGGAAGTCATCAAACGCAGCTCCTGACCCCCCCTCTCCGCCCCCCCCAGACCTGCTCATCAGAAGCCAGTGATGGTGGGCGGGAGCAACGCATTTAACTGCTTACAAGCCCCTACCCCCCACCCCGCCATCACCCCCGGCATCTTGCACTCACAGCTTACAGAGCACCGAGCTGGCTTGCAGTCCTGCCTGTACCTAAACACGCGACCAGACGTGAGCTCCCTCAGTGGGTCTCTGTGGGGTTCCCTGTCCTCATTTGTAAGAGGGAATAATTAGTTAGTTGTGCTTACAGTGCCCGACACGATTCCGCGTGCTTTACACATATCAAGGCTTCATTCCCGAGACGGCCCAGCCCATAACCAGCATTATCACCTCCGCGTGGAGGAAACCGAAACACAAGAAGGCTCAGCGACAGGCCTGAGGCCATGCAGCTCAGCAGGGGACAGCGGGTGGCCGGAGTCCCTCCCTCACCCCAACATCACAGGCCCCGAGAGGACCAGGACGGGCCGCACGGAGGGGGTGGGTGCTCTCTAGAGTGGGGAAGAGCATGGTCACAGACATGCAGGTGCCCGTGGGAGGGGTGCCCCAGGCAGGAACCTGCATCAGACCTTGGTCAGGATCCACTGCTGGCCCAGAAGACGGGCTGACGTGGGGCACGAGCACACACCCTTTGTGGTACCACCCATGGCTGCCACAGAACAAGGTCTAGTCCAGTGATGGCGAACCTATGACACGCATGTCAGAGGTGACACGTGAACTCATCTTTTTGGTTGATTTTTCTTTGTTAAATGGCATTTAAATATATAAAATAAGTTTCAAAAATATAAATCTTTGTTTTACTATGGTTGCAAATACCAAAAAATTTCTGAATTAGTCCATCAGACCCAGGAGTCTGCGTCGCTCGGAATGGGACTAGAGGTTTTCTAGGTGAGTTGACATGAAGAAACACATTCTTCAGGAAGTAGCGGGGCAGGTGGTGCTGGGCTGTGACCGAGCTGCTGGAGGAGGCGGAGCGGTTCCCTGCTGGTAGTTACCTGGTTCGAGGCCGGGCACTGAGGCAGTGTGTTCTTAGGGAGTCTCTCCACGCCGCAGTGGCATCTAAGAGCCGTAGGGGCTATTCCGTGCCCATGTGCCCCATCGGACAGATAGACACACCGAGGCTGCGGGGATCCACGGGCACTACCTGTGCTCTGTGGTAACCTCCGGGACTGGGTGGACCTTCTGTCAGGCCAGTGTGCCCAGCCCTGTCTGATTGGCTAGTTGTATGTATATGTGTTTCCTGTAAAAGATACGAAGAGCAAGGCCGGCTGTGACCCCTCCGGGGGCCATGAGCTTGGGCGTGCCTCGGGATGTATAAGCAGCCCTGGCTGGTGTGGCCCACTGGATAGAGCGTCGGCCTGCAGACTGAAGGGTCCCAGGTTCAATTCCGGTCAAGGGTGCATGCCCTTGTAGGGGGCTCCATTGCCAGTAGGGGGCATGCAGGAGGCAGCCGATCCATGATTCTCTCTCGCCATGGATGTTTCTATCTCTCTGCCCCTCTCCCTTCCTCCCTGAAATCAATCTAAATATATTTTGTAAAGAAAGGATGTCTCAGCAGAAACTGAAACCGCCGGGTTTAGCTCCTTGCCCACCAACCACACCGAGCCGCAGTGCCGCCTCAGGAGCCACATTTTAATAACTTGTCCCAACCTGTTGAGGACCAAGTGATCCCTCGGGGAACCTGGTAATTACCTGCCAAGGAGAGCCAGTGGCCTGCCATGGCCGTGACCTTAGAAACCGTCCCAATCTCCCCTGGCCGTGTTGCTCCACACCCCCCACCCCTGCTCGGTCCCTCCCCCTTAACATCAGAATACATGTTCCGTATGGAGCGTTCCATGTGATGGGCGCCTGGGTCTGCTCCATGCTTATAAAGGAGATCTACTGAAAGGTTTTCAGCATTAAAAAACAAAAGTAACGCTACTTTAAGGGAGGATGAGGCAATAAGAAGGGGGCCCTGTCCTCTCTGACCAAGTCATCTCTGTGGCCGCCGAGTCCTGCCTGGGTTTCCTTCCTTCTCTGGATTCATTTCCTATTTTTACACGTTCACACATGTTGTCCAATCCGACTCGTTTCTGAGCTGCGCTCTCCGCACACATTTGTTCTTTCGAATTTCATCCTCTGTTCTCACCAAGTGGAGTTTGCTTTGGGCAGATTAGAGTATTTTCACATTTACACAGCCCAGCGGCTTTTGAAAACGTGGGATGCTCTTGCCTGATGGGGGTTTGGGGTCACTGAATGGGAACCCTGTCCTATCGCTGGTATCACGTAAAAGTGATCCCGGCTGCCCCTGACTGAGCCGGCTCCTGGGTCCCCCCGCAGTCCGTGAGGCAGTGTTGGTACCTGCCCGCTTTGCCCACAAAGAGATGAGTTAAACCTCTTCCTGGTCTCCACGCTCTGATGGTGGAGGCAAGCCTGAAGGCGGGTCTGGCTGGTTCCCAAGCCCGTTCGCGCTTCTGAAAACCCTCCCTGGTTCCTCTCTGCAGGCCTGGCGCAGATTCCGCCACATGATTTGTTTCCTTATCCTACGTCTGCAATGTTCCCTCCGCCTTCCTCAGCACCCCCTTCTCCAGGACACTCCTTAACCTCGTTTAATTAGAACGCTAGGCTCTCCATACAGCCGGGGGGGTGGGGGGGTGGCAGTACCTGACAATACACTTGAACTTCAGGAGCAAAGTTAAATGTCCTAGTTGCACTTATTTCACTGCAGGGCCAGAGCTCAGGGGTGACGTAGGCGGGATCCTGGCATCGGATTGCGTTCGGAACGACCATCCTTTCCTCAGAACTAACCTAACTCCAGCACCTTCTCCAGCGCGTCTTCGGTTTTTCCGACGCTGGTGCTAAGGCGCCAGGGGTGGGCTGAGCTCCTGCAAAGGGCCAGGTGAAGGCCAATGCCTTTAGGCAAAGGGCCAGGGAAAGGTTTCCCGGCCGAGGTTTAGCGGGTGCGGAAATTCCACAGGAAGCTCACCTGTTCTCTTGCGCAATTGAAACTCCCACCTCTGAGCCCGCTTTTCCGGCCTTGAAGCCGATGTTTCTATGACGGTGTTTTGCTTTTGTTTTGGTTTCCACTCGGTTTTACTTTAAGGCGAGGAAGGAGGGTGGCTCTGTCTCCCAGTCTTAATCAGGACTCAGAGGTCAGAGCCGGGGCCTCGGGGCCGACACAGGCTCTGTCACCCTCGATCACGGCCACAGATAACCGGTGCCGCGTCCCCTTGTCAGGAGCCCTGACCCCTTTCGGTGACTCCGGCCGCTGTGACTCACTTTTGGTTCCCATCTGCCACCAGGAGGGGCTTACTCTCTGCAGCTCAGTGTCCCCGAGTAACAGTCCGTTTCAAGGAGCTGTTTCCGCATGATGACGTGCTTCTGACTCATTTCTCAGTTGATACACAAGTCAAACCCTCCTTCGTCTTTCATACCCATCCCAGTACCTACGCTCTCCAGGGACATGGTCGGTCCGGGACTTGTGATTTGGACGCTGTAGGACATATGAGCCGTCAGGGCAGCGTCTGCAGTCCCAGCGTGGGGGTGTCCGGGTCCGAGAGAGGGGCCTGTTTGGGCCAGCCAGGCTGCCATGCCCGGTGCTGGATCCTCCAGGGTCACCTTACTTGTGTATTCTCTAGAACTGAGCTCCATCAGAGCAGCAAGACTTGGTTTTCTGGGTACCACCGTGCTTGGCCACGAAGTCACTCAGTGAATCACTGCTGACCAATATGTTACCCCGAATTCTGAGTTCTAGTGGCCCGCCAGTAGATGGAGGGATAAATGCCACAGCAAACAATTACTGTATTTGCTGATTTGTTAGGCACCGCAATATTACCCTGCACCTACAATTAAGGCAAATGGCTACAGCCAGTGTGGCTCAGTGGTTGAGCATCGACCTATGATCCAGGAGGTCACAGTTTGATTCCTGGTCAGGGCACGTGCCCGGTTGCCAGCTCGATCCCCAGCAGGGGGCGTGCAGGAGGCAGACAATCAATGATTCTCTCTCATCATTGATGTTTCTATCTCCCTCTCCACTTCCCTTCCTTCCTGAAATCAATAAAAAAAATATATATTGTTAAGAAATGGCTAAGGCTGTGAAACAAGGATTGTGCTTACTGACAAAAAGCAAATCCCTATCGTATTGCCTCCTCTCTCATCCACAGTAAGCTGTCCTCATGTGAGCCAGAACACGTGCTTTCCTTCTCAAATGCCGCCAGAATGACTCTCCACGTACATTGGATGAGAAGGACTTACTTTTTCTCTCCCCCTCCCCCACAGTCTCTATCAAATAGATCCCTAACACAGTGCCTCAGTTTCTCCAAAGAGGAGGTGCTTTATTGAGTTTCAGAGTTTGTGTTTCCTGGTTCTGGTGGGACCTCAGAACTCAAGTAGCCGAACCTCCAACATCACCACGATGCTATCAATGCAGGACCCCCAAGGCCCGGAGAGGGCCCCCGAGGCAATGATAGTAAGAAGGGGTGATGTGAGAGCCCTTTTCCTTTACAAGGTGCCCCCATGTGCTCTCATCTCATCTCATAAGGCCCCTGAGGGAGGAAGCATTAGCCATGTTAAAGGTGGGGAAACCGAGTCTAGCAGGCATGCTGGGACTTGCTCCAGATTCCATGAAGCCGTAGACACGGGGCAGACCCTGAAGGCGGGCCTTATGCCCTCAGATGAGAACAGCCGGGCCCAGGCAGGCTTGAGAATGGGGGTGGGCCCTGCCTGACCCTCAGGGCTCCCTCGAGCACCTACACCACCTCCTGGAAGAGGGGAGCGCCGACTAGGTAAATTGCTATTTCAAAATGAGTGAGGTGTCTCCAGCTGAAAAGTCCCCAGGAGGGACTCGTCCTGGCACCCGCGCCTCCCGGGGCCTTGTTCTAGCTCCTTGTAAACAAACAAACAAACAAACAAACAAAAAAACCCTTTTCCTGTTTCCCAGGACTGGACAGCGACTTCCTGGCCGTGCTGACCGATTACCCATCTCCTGACATCAGCCCCCCAATATTCCGCCGAGGGGAGAAGCTGCGTGTGATTTCTGAGTGAGTTGGCTTTCAAACCTTTACAACAGCCCCCCAAGAAGGATGAACTCGATTGGGGGGCCGTGGTTAGGCTCCAGCTGTAGCTGTGCAATTCCCTACGGGCCCTGATCCCCTAGTGAAGTGAGCCGTTGGCCCACACAGAAGACCTTCATGCTTCACCCCGCTTCATGCTGCCGGTGCTCTCAAACCTCCAGTGGCTCCCCATTGCCTCCTGGAGAACAATGTAAACTCCTCAGTGGCTTCTGAGGTCTTTTATCGTATTGGTCTCAGCTCGCCCCAACACGGGCGCTGTTGATAACATATGCGAGTGCAGGCCCAGGAAGGAGGACCCAGGGGCTGGGGAAACTTCTGATGAATGACACGCCCAGTATTGCCTTCTATCCTGTTGTCTCTGCCTGGTTTGAAATAGTCTCCAGAACAGGGATGGGGAACCCTTTTTCTGCTAAGGGCCATTTGGATATTTATAACATCATTTGGGGGCCATACAAATTTATCAACTTAAGAAACTAGCCTGCTGTATTTGGTCAAACATTTCATTAACTCACCCCTCATGCCTCGGCAGGGCCCGACCACATGATTTCTCAGGCCTCATACGGCCCATGGGCCGGACGTTCCCCATCCCTGCTATAACAGAAATAGGGGCTCTACTCCCCTATTATTTCAGTCCCGTGGCCACAGAGAGAGGAAGTGTCCTGGTTCTACCCTGGGGCATAAGTCAGGCACGCCCTTACTTGCAAACAGCCTCCAATTGTGGAACCTCCGTGGGAAGATTTCCTAATTAGCTTGGCGTGTGGGGGTGGGGGGACGTACTGAAAAACTAAATTTTCATATGGAGACATTTGGGTCAATGGCCAGTGAAGGATCTTAAAGAACAAGGTCTCCACGGGCCCCGGGTTAAATCCGACGTCTCTGTTCATTCATGCGTTTGTTTGGACAATTAGCTTTGACCCTTCCCTCCCTGCTCTTGTTCCTGCAGCGAAGGGGGCTGGTGGAAAGCCATTTCCCTCAGCACCGGGCGTGAGAACTACATCCCCGGGATCTGTGTGGCCAGAGTTTACCATGGGTGAGTGCACGTCGCAGGTAGCGTCCATCCAGCACCATGTTCATGCTAGTGACCTGGAGCGAGCATGGGGAAGGGAGGCACTAGGCTTGAGAAGGCAAGGCCCCTTCTGCTCTCAACCCGGTTCCTAGAGACGGGCCACCGTGGGCTAGCCCCAGTAAGCGGGATGTGACCACGGCCGAATGGAGTTCCCAAGCTCGTCGATGCAATAAAGATCCTTAAAACACTGAACAGCAGGCGAGGCAGTGACATATGCCAGTTATGAAACGGGATGTCCCAGAAGAACAATCCGAGCTGTGGCCCTAGCTGACATGGAGTGACTTGGGCGGGTGAATCACTCTGACCCTCAGTACCCTCGTCGGTGAAAGAGAGAGAATACGCCTGTCTTGGGGGCTGGATGTGAGGATTCGATGTCAAGGGCTTAACATGGTCTGTGGCCCATACTTAGTATTCACACATGGCTGCTGTGACTGGCTTCTCGTCTTCATTTTTATAAGAGGAAGCTCGTGTCAGGACTTGAAGAGTGGATGTTTGTCACATGCACTGAGGCAGTGAACACGCTATACATTGTGCAGAACTGAGGTGAACTATTTGTCCGGGTCTGGCATAAACATAATATATTTTTTAAATATATTTTTATTGATCTCAGAGAGGAAGGGAGAGGGAGAGAGAGAGAGAAACAACAATAATGAGAATCATTGATTAGCTGCCTCCTGCACGCCCCATACTGGGGAACAAGCCCGCAACCCCGTCATGTGCCCTTGACCAGAATCAAACCCGGGATCCTTCAGTTGGCAGGCCAACGCTCTATCCACAGAGCCAAACGGGCTAGGGTTGACATAATCATGATCTTAATAACAAGAGCCCCCTGGAGCCCCAGATATAAACAAATGGCATCGCTGCTCCTTATTTGTAAACAAATGGCTCCTGAGGACACAGCAGCCAGTTGCTAGCACCACATCTCCTTCCGGCCGAGCGGCCCGGCTGCCCTGGGACGAGGAAGGGCCGTGCCTGGGGACCCGGCCGCTTTGCGCACAGAGCGCCTCCCAGAGACGGCCCCGCAGTGCCCTCGCCCAGGGGAGGGGCGCGCTCCACGGTTACAACTGCTTTTTTTTATTAAGTGAAAGAAGCAAGAACCATATGTACACGCATAGAGCAATGACACTTGTGCTTAAAATCGGCCACAAAAAGGAGACGGGGAGGAAATGTGAGTAAAGCGAGGGGGGCTTGTTCAGGTGCGAGAGAATGCACCCTGTCGTTCTTGCTGCCTGGTGCCCATTCATTCATTCACAGATACACACAAAACTCGACAACCTGGGCGCAGAAACGAAACCCAAAAGCAAAACCCAAAAACGAAACCCGAGAAGACAGAGTCCCTGCCCTCCCGGGCGGTGAGGGAGGGGCCGGCAGTTAGATTATAAGGGAGACAGACATTAAAGGAACTACCTACCAAACAGGTACCTTACCGAGTTTTAGAAAGCTCGTGTCTTACATACTACAGTGTGGACACAGCCCAGGTGGCATCTGAGAAACGGGATAAGAAAGATGTTTTAGCCCGGCCAGTGTGGCTCAGTGGTTGAGCACCAACCTATGAACCAGGAGGTCATGGTTCCATTCCCAGTCAGGGCACATGCCCGGGTTGTGGGCTCGAGCCCCAGTGTGGGGTGTGCAGGAGGCAGCCGATCCATGATTCTCTCTCATCATTGATGTTTCTGTCTCTCTCTCCCTCTCCCTTCCTCTCTGAAATCAATACAAAAAAATTTTTTTTTAAAAAAGATTTTTTTATGCATCTCTGTCCTCATGACCCAATGGCATACCTGGCATGCGGTAGGTACTAAGGAATTTTATTTGAAAGATTAAAAGTATGAAGGAAGGAAGGAAGGAAGGAAGGAAGGAAGGAAGGAAGGAAGGAAGGAAGGAAGGAGTGAAAAGTCAATCGCCCTCGTCTTTCTAATCCCAGCAGTTCTATGTGAACTGGCCCTCGATCTTAACTGCTGAGCCCGCCTGGCTCTGGGAGGGTGCGGGCACTCACGCTGTCATCCCCCGCAGCTGGCTGTTCGAAGGGCTGGGCAGAGACAAGGCCGAGGAGCTGCTGCAGCTGCCCGACACGAAGATCGGCTCCTTCATGATCCGGGAGAGCGAGACGAAGAAAGGTGAGCAGCCCCCGACTCACCTTCCCACGCTCGGGTCAGACAAGCAGGTCTGGCTCCTGGCTGACTCATTCATGACCCAGCTCACGAACACGCCAATCAGTCCGAGATGGTGAGCTCCCTGCAGCCCACGCACCGCGGTGAGGCCAGCATCGAAGTCAGGGGCCGAGACACAGGCAGTGGGGGCCTGGCCCCATACCAGGCCCTGGCGACGCCTGCGGGACAATTTCCCATCAACTGAGAGGAAAGGCCAACTCCCGGTGTCGGCAGCACGTGGGCAGAGAGAGCATGGGCCTTGGGCTGGGCCTGGCCTCTGCTCTCAAGCTCTGAGGCTGGGGCGGGTCACTTCCTTCTCTGAGCTCAGTTTTCTCAGCTGTGAAATGGGAAGAAGCCCCTCCCTTGTGAGGTGGCGGAGTAGCTCCAATGTAATGTTTGTGGTGGTCTCACTACACAGGAGACCCCAGGACTAGCTCCCTCTGTGCCCAGCAATGCAATCAGAAATCTGCAAGAAGCAGGACCCACAGATACACACTGCACATACCCTGATCTGATTTGTATAATTTCCTTCCATCCCACGCACTAAGCAATTCAGGGGGAACGACACCGCAGGGCTCTGCGGGGTTCTGAGCAGGGGTCCCCAGTTCTAGTTCCGGCTCTATGGGCGATGAAGGAGCCATGCCCCTCTCGAAGCCCAGGACCCCTTATCCATCACATGGGATCAGCCGGAGGAACATGCTTCTCACGGTGTCAGGGATGTAATGTACACACTTAAGCAAGCAGACGCCAGACCCAACCCCTTGGGCCTTCCCAGATAAGAAAGGATGATAATAAGCATTTAAACACAGAAGATACTTGCGGTTCCCAGCCTGCTCCTGGCACACCTGCTGTCTAAGAGGAGAACACACAGTCTCTGCGAGTATTTTTTGAGAGCAATGCGTGTCGCAGTGTCCCCGAGGCACGGGACCCAGACCCGAGCTCCTGCTGGTGTGGGCGGGCGGGAGAGCCCGGAGGTGCCCACGCTGCTCTAAAAATAAAGAGATCGCCAGGCAGACCTGCAGCTGGCCGGCCGGGTGGGGTGCAGGCCCCGCTTCCCCGGGCATGCAAAGTTCTCACACATTGACACCTGCCCCCTGGACCGGCTCACCCTGCCTCAGGCCCCGCTGACATTACCGAAAGGCACATGCTGGGTCGAGTCAGAGGGCGGGCCGGGGCCGAGTGAGGGATGCCCCTCGGGACCAGGGTCCCGGTCGCCATTCCAAGCTGCGTACCTCCGGCCGTGTCACCCAGGGGCTCTGAGCCTCAGCTTCCCCAGGCCTTTCTGAGAACTGATGGAGATGTTGTTGGGAGATAGCTGAGCCCAGCCCAGCCCAGCCCAAGCCGCCAAGACTCAGAAAAATCTAGTGGCCCCCCTCTCTCTGCTCCATGACACTTTCACCCCTGAGTTCCCCAGAACACAGCACAGGAAGGACTCCGACATGTGCCCCGGGTCTAGTTCTCTATCTTCCCACGTGGGCAAATCAAGGCTGGGAGCGAGGCCAAGGCTCTGCTCGTCCTAAGAGTGCGGTGCTGTCACCCTAATGCTGCTCGAGGGGAAAGAGCACAGTTCCTGTGCTTCTTTGAGAGACCCAGAAAAATGTCTTCGCTGCCCCTCTCCCCAAGTTTCTGAGAACACCACGCCCAAGTCAGAGGGAGCTGGGATGGGAAAACAGGGCCATAACCCTGAGGCCTCTCACAGCTGAGGCGCTGGAGGGTACGCGGGCCAAACCCGAGGATGCTCTGGGTCCCGGCCCATGGCTGCAACCCAACTCGAACCCCTCACGCAGCCCAAGGACCCTGAACGGGATGTGGAAGCTCCCCTCCTGGGAACGTCACGAAGCAGAGACAGGCCTCTCCGAAATCAATAAAAATGCGTTTTTTAAAGAAAGAGTGAGCCGCGTCCACGCAGATGGGGTTCCCGTGGCTGCTGCTCCCCACACGAGAGTGTGTGTCTGGGTGTCATGGTGGGACAGGCTGAGAAAAGCCCTCGGCCTCAGCGGGGGTGGGCTCGCGCCGGCTGCCCTGGGCTGGGGCCCCCGGGATGCCACTGACTGTCCTCCGTGCCTGCAGGCTTCTACTCGCTCTCGGTGCGGCACCGGCAGGTCAAGCACTACCGCATCTTCCGCCTGCCCAACAACTGGTACTACATCTCTCCGCGGCTCACCTTCCAGTGCCTGGAGGACCTGGTCAACCACTACTCCGGTAAGAGCCGCCTGCAGGCCCCGGCCCTGACCCCTCCTTGCTAACTGCCCTGCGGGGGCCCCGTCTAGGGCAGCGGTTCTCAACCTGTGGGTCGCGACCCCTTTGGCAGTCGAACGACCCTTTCACAGGGGTCGCCTAAGACCATCCTGCATATCAGATATTTACATGACGATTCATCACAGTAGCAACATTACAGTTATGAAGTAGCAACGAAAATAATTTTATGGTTGGGTCACAACATGAGGAACTGTATTTAAAGGGCCTGAAGGTTGAGAACCACTGGTCTAGGGGGCCCGCAGGTCGCTTTGCTCTCTGCCATCCCGCCTTCTCCACGCGCCCTTTCCCTGTTCACACGGCCTGTAAGGCTGGGACTGAAACACGCTGCCTGCCAATGCCGCCGAGTGAGTAAAACGCAGCGAATCTCGAGTTTGCCGTCCCTGCCTGTAAACGAAAGAGGTCGGTGCCCCTAGTTCACAGCCACAGACGGCTCGCACTTCCTCCAGCCGACCTCGCAGCTGCAGGCCTCGGGCTTTGCTCTGCAATGCCACCCATTTCCCCTTTTCTGCATGCAGGCTCCTCCTGGGCTTCCAGCCAATGGGACCGCTTCTTTTTTTATGCTTAAAAAAAAATGATTTCAGAGAGAGGAAGAGAGAGGGAGAGACAGACAGAAACATCAGTGATGAGAAAGAACCACCCATCGGCTGCCACACTGGGGATCGAGCCCACAACCCGGGCCTGTGCCCTGACCAGGAATCCAACCGTGACCTCCTGGTTCATGGGTCAATGCTCAACCACTGAGCCATACTGGTCAGGACCCCCTCCTCGACGAAGTGTCAGTAGACTCTGCTCCGACAGACGCCCGGTCTCCCCAGAACCCCGCTCGCTCTGCCTGTTGGCCGCATTCACCGTGTTCCGGTCTGCTTCCCCAGGAGCTCTTAGAGACCAAGGCTTGTCATTCGTTCCCATGGCCTCCCTGGACCCAGGAGGGGGTCAGAATGACCCACGCTGACCAGGACGGGGTCATCCGCCGAGGTGGTGGGAACAGAGCGTGGTTTTGATGAGGGCGATGGGACAGGAAAGCTGAGTGAGACTGACAGGCCTGGAGGGCAGGTCAGGAGTTGGAACTTTACGGAAAAGGCAGAAAGAGTGAAAAGGTGGCTTCGTTTCTAAGAGTTGGTGTGGAACTGATGCTCGTAGCCCAGACCTTCCGGGCACCTGGGGCTGGTGGTAAGACTCTGGGCTCCTTTTCTTCTCTGTGTATTGAAGATGCGGAGTGTTCCCACCCAGGGGGGATGCTGTGAGATGCCTGGGGTTGGTGCACACAATGTGCTGGGAGAGCACCTCCTAGCGCATAGCTGCGGCTCTCCCCGCTCCTCGGCCAGGGCGGCCCCTTCCGCCTCCTCCCTGGGCACCGGGGGGAGGAAGAGAGGTGCCTTTCACTTTGCTAGTGTCCTCCCCTTCCTGGTTCAGAAGGCCTGACCTGGAAGGACCTGTAGGTGTGGGGTCTTGAAGGGCATTTCAAGGAGAAAGCGACCACAGGGCCTGGGTCCCCGCACCTGGCCCAGGAGACGCGCAGTCCTGAAGGAGGTATGGACACACGGGAGACACAGGCCCAAGCTCGGGTGCTCGAGGGCTCTGTGAGGCCTTGGACAAAACCCTCGGCCTCTGCGGGACTCGGGTCCCCGCTTACAGAAGGTGGATGCGACCCACCCACGGGGGTATTGATCACTCAACACCATCGAACCCTGAGGCGACGCGGCGTCCCAGCCTGCCGTGCGGCGGGTGCAAAATAAAAGATAACGCAATTATTTCTGTGACACCCGAGAACCTAGCAGCTCGGCTAAAAATGAAAGAGGAAGGGAGTCCTGGAAATGGTGCACTTCTACCGATTATGAGTAAACATCGGTTGTGGTATTGGCTCTTAATAACAATCATACCAGAGGTGCACAGACCAGAAGTTTTGCATAGACAGAGGCAAACATGAGAGGATGCCACCCCAGCAGGATGTCACAGACAGGGCGCTCCACAGGCTTCCGGCCAGGCTCACCCAGGACCATGCATCGTCAGGCTCACCCAGGACCGTGCACCGCCAGGCTCACCCAGGACTGCACACCACCAGGCTCACCCGGGACCATGTACCGCCAGGCTCACCCAGGACTGCACACCACCAGGCTCACCCGGGACCATGCACCGCCAGGCTCACCCGGGACCATGCACCGCCAGGCTCACCAGGACCGTGCACCGCCAGGCTCACCAGGGACCATGCACCGGCACAGAGCAAGACCTTCCCCACCACCTCCTGGGCCTGCACCAGGAGACGGACCGCAGTCTGCTTCGCCCCTGTAGTAACTGAAATGAGACTGAAACCCTGAAATGCTCCCGGCTCCTGGGGACCCCAAGGTTGAAGCAACGTGGCCAGTTTCTCCGCCCTCCAGGCCAGCTTCTCCTCGGGACACCGTTAGCGTGGTTTTGCCCGGAGGGGTCTGCACAGACGTCTCTGTTGCACAGGTTGCTTGTACTTATTTCCCTGGGGCCCTCGGGCAAGTACCTACCATCTCGAAGCCTCAGTTTCTTCATCTATAAAATGGGGATTTAGCGCCTCTTATAGGATTGTTGCGAGGACCCAGAAATCACCAGTGAAAAGTCTGGCATCTGAAGTATTCCATGCGCAGTGGTGACTGAGAGAGCAGAGAGCGTAGGACACAAACGAGGTCTAATTTACGGCCAGAGAGACAAGTGGTGGGGACAGGTGCCCCTTGAGTGTCAAGGTGGAGCCGGGAGGTCTGAGAGTCTGAGGGAGCATTCTAGAGTTTTCCACAGACGGGAGGAGGAGAGGAGTGTGTCCAGACCCCAGAGGCAGGAAGGACTTCCCTCTCCTCCACGTCAGGGGCAAGGAGCTGCTCTTAGAACAAGTGCCTGGCTCAGAGCCCAGGCCACAGGCTGGGTCACATCTCCGTGACCTTGAGCAAGTGACTTGGCCCAGGACCCTCAGTCTCCGTGTTCCGAAAACGGGCCCAACAGTGCTGGCGGCTCAAGGACGTGGCCTCACTCAGCACTGGGCTCAAGGCACCTGCTTTTCTCGTTGCCAAACTTGCCTCCTCACCCTACATGTAAGCTCTCGAAGGAAAGACAGACTGTCGCCAAGTCCCCGCCTGGGCTGGGTACCGCCGCCGATTTCTTGTCTGATTTGGTCCCTCACCCCTAGGCACCCCCTCCAGCCTGTGACAGGTCATTATTTCAGACCCACATGCAATTAAGCTCCCTCTGACCTCAGGGTCCCATCTCGCGTTTCTCGGCGTGGGACAGTGTGGTGGGCATTCAAGTTCAAGGTGAAAGGCAGGCTGAGCGCTGGGATGGGCGTCCTCGGCCGCCACCCTCTGAGAGCCTGGGTTTGCTCCTCAGTACAGTTTCCTTTTGTTCTTGGGCAAGGACCCCCCAGGGCTCCACAGATAAGAGGGGAGGCAGAGACACCCATGGGTGACGTGGCTCCGCCCGGCCCTTCCAGGGGCCAGCAGCACCCGGCACCCCGGCCCCGCCATCGCCCCTGGGACATGACCGGCCCAGGTCCTCAACCTGGAGACACCCCGATTTCCTCCAGCTCTCAGAAGGTCTGAGCACAGCCAGGCCCCACCTCTCTCGCCAGGACGGGGGCTGGGAGGAGGCCTCCAAGGAGGCGCTGTGTCTGAAGGGCCCGGAGGAGGAGGGCTGGGAGCTCAGACAGCTTACACCAGCTGAGGGGACGGACGGGTTGACTCCGCTTTCATTCTCCTTGTGCATGAGTGTGTAGGGTGAGGGGGAGAGGGGTTCCCCCCTTTCCTTTGTCCACTTTCTCTCTTTTGCTTTGAATCTATGCATTTCTCCTTTTTATATGCCTTTTATCTTTTTTGAGAACCTTTCCCTGTCTTCTCTCATTGTTTCTTTTGTCTTCCTTTCTCCCTACCCGTGTATCCCACCACCATGCTGCCTTGAATGCTGCTCTGTGAGCTCTGGGGAAGTCAGGGCTGCCCACAGCCCACAGCCCTGCACATGGGCCCTCCTGAGGGGTGAGGGGGCTGTGCCGATGGTCGCTCGGCCCCACGCCTGCGCTGGCTGCAGCGTCTCCGTCACTGACCCCCTGTCTGCTCCGTCCTCAGAGGTGGCCGACGGCCTGTGCTGCGTGCTGACCACACCCTGCCTCACCCAGAGCACCGCTGCCCCGGCCGTGAGGCCTCCGACTCGCCCGTCACCCTGCGCCAGAAGACCCTGGACTGGAGGAAGATGTCCAGGTGAGGGTCAGGGTGTCTGTCTGTGTGTGAGAGCCCCCGTCCAGCGTGTGAGCCTGGCACATGAACACTGTGGCCAGCTACAGCCGGCCCTGCGGGAACCTGACGGTGGGCACACAGAGCGGGCACACGCCATGGAACCCCGCTGCCCCCCGGGAGGCAAATCCAGCCTCGGGCCTCACGCAGTGGGGGCCACGACCCTAGCGACTCCCTGGCAGGGCCCCAGCCCCCCCAGTTCTGCAAACATTTCCTGAGCCCCATTCAATGTGAGCAGAACATTTTCTAGCAGAAAGATACCACCTTCCTTTTCCTAATTGTCAGGATCCCAGAGAGGATCACACAAAGAACTCTTGTATCATTTAATATTCTTTTAAACTCCCTCAGGAAGTTTAAACACACCAGCAAAATCCTAAAGTGGCATAGTTTGTTTGTTTAAGGGAAAAGCATTTCCCACTAATCTGCTTTGAGTGTCTGCTATTGTATTTTAGGGGTATGTGTAGTTGGAGATTGATTGGTGGGTTGCCTTATTAATTAAATACTGATCCAGACATCCCACTGGAAAAAAAAAATCAGAAGTCAGAGTTGACTGGGAGATAAATAAAACTGCTCTTTCTTGTAAATATTATAAAAATACTCATTAAAATTTACAGTTTACAGAGACATGTTAGCCATTGAAGGAAATGGTGGTTCAGAGAGGTTCAGTGACTTATCTAAGGCCACACAGCCACAAATATAGGAAGCAGAATCAGAATGATAAGCTAGAGAAATGCTAACAGGGCCTTTTCCCTTCCTCTTATTCTCTTGTCCTCATCCCTCTCTTTTCCCCTCCCTCTGTCCCCTTTGCTCCCACGCACAGGCTGCAGGAGGACCCCGAGGGCGCAGGGAACCCACTGGGCGTGGACGAGTCCCTCTTCAGCTACGGCCTGCGGGAGAGCATCGCCTCCTACCTGTCCCTGGCGGGCGACAGCGGCGCGCCCCTGGACCGCAAGAAGAAGAGCATCTCCCTGCTGTACAGCGGGAGCAAGAGGAAGAGCGCCTTCTTCTCGTCGTCGCCGCCCTACTTCGAGGACTAGCCCAGGCCGGACGGGCAGCCGCACGGGGTGCCCAGCGAGGCCGGACGGGCAGCCGCACGGGGTGCCCAGCGAGAACAGGCTCTGGACCGTCACCTGGGGCCCAGCCGAGAGGCTCGGTCGCCTGGTCCCCGGGAACCTCGAGTCTTCCAGACGCCACGAGAAGCTGCCTGAGGGACCCACCCTGGCGTCGGGCCAGTCCTGGACGTCACCGGACGTCGACTCGCGACACGATGGCGCCCTGCTTTGGAAGAGCCTGCTTGTATGTTGGGTGCTCATCGTGTTTGCGGGAAAGACAGCCGCCCTCTGAGCTCAGAGAGAACGTCTAAGGAGACCGGCCAACAGCCGTGTCAGGAGACCGGCCAACAGCCGTGTCCTGGGCACAGGTCCGGGTGTGCACACTGGTCCCCTGCTTGGCACCTTCTCAGCCATGGACAGAGGCCTCGGTACACACGCACCTCTTCTCGCTAAGCAGCTCAGGGACCCTGATCGCTCACCGTCCTAATTAGCCCGGAAGCTCTCTCTGCCCCTCGGGTCCCAAAGCCGCCTGTGCCGCGGTCACATGGCCTCCCCGCCTCTGCAGGGGGCGAGGCCCAGGGGAGAGGGAGGCTGCGGGGAGGGGGGCGTGGTGCGGGACGGACTGCGCGAGTTTCCACCACATCCCCTCTGCAGCTTCGCAGCGCAGAGCTTTGAGGCACAGCCAGAGTCCCTCCTGACTGCGAAGAGGCTCCGTGTCCTCTCCTATGAAAGGTGTCCGGGGAAAAAAAAGGACAGCTGAGCCCCAGGCCCCAGCAGAGGTCCATGGTGTGGACAGAGAGGAAGTGTGTAAACGAAGATTGTGATGGTGGGTGTAAAGGCAGACATCAGCTCCTGCGTGGGACAGGGGTCAGGTGGGCTGACCCAGAGCCCAGGTTTCAGCTGGACCTTCAGAGAGAGGGCGTGGCTGGACGGAGGAGGTCAGAATGGCCGGACGTTGATAAGTTCTAGAGCATTCATTTCTCGGTATTTTATTCTATGAAGGGTCTGTCACGCACATGAATAAAAGTGCTGAGCTCCGGGAACGAGGGGGTGAGAGGGGCTCAGTTCTGTCTCCATCACTGAAAGGGACTAGAGAGCCACAGCCAAGGCCTCGCGAGGAGAAGCCTGGGCCCCAGCCGCCCACGGCCCCTGCCCCTGCCCCTGCCCCTGCCCCTGCCCCTACTGGGCAGGGGTCAGGGGTGGGGCGGTGCCTGTGCCAGCCAGGCCTCCTTTCCCTGCTGCGAGCATCTGTCTGTCCGGTGCCTGTGCCAGGGTATCTCTCGCTGCCCGATACGAGCATCTGTCTGTCCGCCACTCGCATTCCGCACGTCTGAGGTCACTGTGCTCGCCGCACGTGTCGACGCGTTTACAAGCTTTTCTGTATCAGCAGAGCCCAGGCTGTTTATACCCAAAGACATCTGGGGTTTCCCCTGCCCCCAAAAGGCTTCAAAGGGGCCGGCCGAGCCTGGGAAGTGACTGCAGCCGGTGCACGCTGCCGCCGACATAAGGCAGGGCCGCCACCCGCCAGATGTCTGCGCGGGGTCTCATGTGTTCTTTTCCGTTGTGACTCACATGGTTGGAGCGTGTGGGGAGGACGCGAGGGATTTCTAAGTGGGAAGCATTACATTTTGCTAAATCATGTATTTATTCCTGATTAAAATAAACCTAATGCGTATTTAACCCCCTGGATGGAGGGAGAGTTTCCTGGGCGAGCTTGGGGAGCAGGAGGGGGGGCAGTTCGTTCAGAAGCTGTCCTGGGTCCCAAATTCTCAACTCAACGTGCAACTGGACAGAGACGGAGATAAGAAACACCCAGCGAGGCCTCGCTGGCCGGCCGCTCAGCGTCTGGAGGGCGGCCTCAAGCACACACGATTGTGTGACTTGATGGTGCCCCCTCACTCCTGAGGGTGGACATGAAGGGTGAGGACAGAAAAACGTCCTGGCCATCGTTACGAAAACCCTGTCTCACCTGGACAACCCCCTCCCCTCCCCCATATTACTTGTGGTACTTCTGCCGTTTGTTCTCCCACGAATTTCCTTCTACAGATACTTTTGGGCACCTACCAAATTCCAGACACTGCTCGGGGCTGGGGCTGGGGCTGTGGCAGGAAAAGCAGAGGCTGTCACAGAGCCTGGTGTCATATACACAGACCTCCCTCTGCAGAAAGCACCCGGCCTGGGAGGGTCAGGGTCAGACACGGGAGGAAGGCAGCAAGCATCTGAGGCAGGACAGAGGCCTCCGCACTGCTACATGGGAGAGTCCCCACCACGGCGGGTCTTCCTGTCTGAGGAGCGGGGAGAGCTGTGAGCCCTGTTGCGGCCGAGCCCTGGGCGGGGGGAACCCTCCAGATGGAGGAGCAGGCCTGTAGTTCACAAGCAGTGATGGGAAGACCTAGGGGGAGCCTGGCATTTAAAAAATATATATTTTTATTGATTTCAGAGAGGAAGGGAGGAGAGAGAGGGAGAAACATAAATGATGAGAGCAAATCATGGATCGGCGGCCTCCTGCACGCCCCACACTGAGGATCGAGCCCATAACCCGGGCATGTGCCCTGACCGGGAATCGAACCGTGACCTCCTGGTTCATAGGTCGATGCTCAACCACCGAGCCATGCCAGCCGGGCAAGCCTGGCATTTTCTAGGAACAGGGAAACCAGGGAGCCCGGAGCAGGGGCTCAGGTGGGAATGGAGAGACAACGAGACAGGAAACTTGTGCTCGAGGCCAAGTCGTGAGGCCTGGCGTTCACGCCGAGGAACGCGGAATCGGGGCGATGGAAACATCGTCTGGGTCCCGAGCATCACAGCCCAGAGGGCAGGGCCTCCTCGGTCTTCCCTGAGAGCCGGCCAGGGTGTCAGTCACCAAATGCAGGTGGGCAACCTGTCACCCCTCTTCCTCCGACCCGGCCCGGCTGAGGGAATACCCCAGGCCTGCTTCTGTCTGCAGTTGCCTCCGCTGGGCATCGAATGGGGGAAACTGAGGTTTCTCGAGTGCTACGGTGTGCAGGGCATCTGCAAACCTACTGATGCCAACGTCCCGAGCCTCGGGAGGCAGGATTAGCCATGCCCAGTCTATCTCTGAGGAACACGGGGTACAGGGCTCACCCAAGGCCAGGAGCTACTGCGCTGGTCCCACCCTAAACCTGGCCTCTTTGTCTTACACATTGACACCCCAGGAGCCCCAAGTCCCTGCAGCAGCAGCCTCATCAAATGGGAAACACAGGCTTGGGCTGTCGGTTCGAATCCCCACTCCAGCTCCTTCTTTGCTGCGTGTTCTTTAGCAGGTCACTAAACATCGCTGAGCCATGGATGTCTGACCTCTAAATGGCTATTGAAAAAACACACCCCTTGTGAATCCATGTGAGGAGTCTCTGAGATAATACTCTGAGAGTTCTCGATGGCCCCAAAGACACCAAACGAATGACCCTGCTAGTAGTTCTCACAGGAGTCTATCTCGCCTGCTGGGGCAACAGTTCTGGCCCCGAGATTTGCAGAAAGACGAGATTTTAATCAGGAATGTGTCGCCAGCTTGCCTTCGTTCCCCAAGCATCTGCCAGTAACGAACGCGTTGAAGAACTGCTAACGGAGAGAAGTATTTTGGTCCCCTGGACCCGCACAGCCTCACACCCCAAGGCTGCTGGGAGGAGCTGTAAAAGCCGCTCCCAACGACGGAAACAGATGGCGGGTTTATTTTTACACGCGCTCCCATTTGTGAGAACAGATTCGCTTCAGAAATTCCCCAAACACCCACTCTCCAGAATTTTCAAGAAGAAGTCTGCCTTCTGCGCCTACGAGAAGGTGTTGGGGTGTCTTCTGGGTCCCACTGAGTGTCTGGTTTCCGAGGGGGCCCTGGGGAAATACCTTCAGGATCAACTCAGAGTCAGGAGGTCTCTTTTCAGCCCCAGGGATCGGGAGATGTTTGGGCTCAGACCCCCCCACTACCCCCCCGCCCCCCGCCTCAGGGACACAACCCCTACGGAGGGACAGACTGAAGAAAACCCGCACCAAAGGAGAAGAAACACAAGGGAGGGGGGAGAAGGAAAACGGGCCATCCTGTGGGTCCCCCTTCACCCACTCATCCCTGCCCAGATGCTGATTATGCAGCAGGTACTGTAAGACAAGCTGTGCTGGGTGCTCGCCCGTGGAGAGCCAGGCACACCGGGCCCCTGTCCCCCCGGGGCCTACAGTCTTGGGAGGGAGACAGACAGGGCAACAGGAGCAGCTGGTGGGAATCCTGATCGATGCTGCGGGGAAGCGCAGGCAGCACAGCCATGGGAAGGGGTCTGACTCGGAGCTGCCGAGTCCGGGAGGGTCCCTGAGGATGCACAGGGCAGCCGGCAGCAGGAGGGCAGGACCGAGTCTCACACAGGACAGGGCCTGCAGGGGCAGGATGGGCGTGGAGTCTGTCCTGAACATGCAGGCGAGGGATGAATTGGTGGTGGCACAGCTTCCTGTGGGGGATGGTGACGATGCTGCCCTAGCCTCAGTGAGGCCCAAACCACGCCACCCCTGCCCTCCTCATGATCAAGGCCCTGGTCCCAGGAAGGCGAGGCAGAGTAGGAGTGGCCCACGGCCTCAGCATGGCTAGCAGGTCCTTGGCATTGGCCTCAATGGTCTCCCTCTTTCCTTAACTGTGTTACTCCATCGTCTCCTCATTGCTTCTCTGCCCCAGGGCTGTCCCTCTGGTTCACCCTCCCCCGCCTCTAAGTGAAGTCTCCTAAAAGGAAACAATTTCCCACCTGCTCGAAGTGCTTTTTAAAAATATATATATATTTATTGATTTCAGAGAGGAAGGGAGAGGGAGAGAGAGAGAAACATCAATGATGAGTGAGAGCCATTGATTGGCTGCCTGCTGCACACCCCACACTGGGGACTGAGCCCAAAACCCAGGTGTGTGCCCTGACCGGGAATCAAACCGTGACCTCCTGGTTCATAGGTCGAGGCTCAATCACTGAGCCAGGCCGGCCAGGCTCAAAGCTCTTTGAAGGCGCAGCGTGCTCACAGCAGCACTGTGCACAACAGCCAAAGGTGCACCCTGATGTCCATCGATGGACGATGAACAAAACGTGGTGCACGCACAGTGGAATAGGACTCAGCCTTGGAAAGGGGTGAAATTCTGCTAGAGGCTACAGCATGGACCATGGAGGAACCTTGCAGACATGCTAAGTGAGAGAGCCAGACACCAGAGGACAAATCTTGTGTGGTCCCACCAGTAGGAGGTACCTAGCCAGGCAATGTCACAGAGAAGAAGGTGGAGGGGAGCCAGTTTCTATTAGGTACAGAGTTTCTGCTTGGGATGAGAATTCTGGAAATGATCCGTGGTGATGATTGCATAACCTTGTACATGTGCTTAGTGCCACTGAATTGCACACTTAAAAGTGGTTAAAGTGGTCAACCAGACCCAATCAAAGACGCAAACACACAACACCCTTCCATGGCGATGGCTCCCACGTGCTCAGGGTGGGCCCACGGTGTTCAGTGCAGTCTGGCTGCTCTCTGCCTCCCAACCCCTATACCACTGCCCAGGAGGGCCCTATCCCCTTGAGGCACTGCAGGCCTACAGATTGAAGAAGAGTCCAGCATCCCCTTGGTGCCTGGACTCTGCCGGCACAGTCCCACACAGTCCCTCTCAGTCTCTTGCAATCTCACTCAGTCCACCCAATCCCACACAGTCCCTCCGAGCCCTCCAAGTCCCTCACAGTCCCACGCAGTCCCCAAACTCCTCTTCTCCTGAGAAGCATTTTTCTCACCCCCTCCTCCGCTCTTGGTGGGGGGTT